TTCCCCCTGCCTCCGCTGTGACCCCTGCATTCTTCTCTGCTGTTCAGTCCTTCCTGGACTAATGCCCCACCCTCTCCGAGCCCACCCCTCAGCGTTTGTGCTCCCCCAGGTCTCGGTCTGGATGCTCCCCCCGTTCTCCAGTGACTGGCTTCTCCCGGTCCTTCAGGTCTTTGCTGAACTGCCAGTCCTGCAGCAGGGTGACCCACTGGGCGGAGCCCCACAGTCCCTCCCTAACACAACAACGCATCATTCCTTCTTCTCAGTGGCCACCACCTGCTTGTTCACACTGGTTATTATTTCTCTACCATCATCCGTCTCCTACTAGAATGAAGAATCCATGAAGCAAACAGTTGGTGCTTCTCCAGCAGGGCAGCAGCTCCAGAAGACGACCTCGCCACCGTTTGTCAGACAAGTGGATCAACACAAGACGTCAGTGGTTTTACAAAGAAAACAGAAATCTGATCCAGGGCCCCTCAGCTAACACCACTGTACTTCCAGATGATCCTGAGATGTGAGGAGGGGGAGACTTGGACTCACTTACTTTGGACACGTCATCGGGAAAGACCAATTGCTAGAGAAAGACATGATGTCTGGTGAATAGAGGGTCAACGAGGGAAACCCTCAGTGAGGTGGATGACACCGTGGCCACAACAATGGGTGTAAACACACCGAGGACCATGAAGATGGCGCAGGACGGGCACCGTTTCCTTCTCTGACACACGGAGTCGCCAGGAGTCGAGGTCAACTCAATGGCAACTAACAGCAAGTGGAACAGTGTTCTCCCAGTTCATTCAGCAGACGTGCTGTCAGTCTGTTGTTTGTGAAAGTTGGACTGTACTAACCTGTCAAAATTCTTCTTAGTTACTGGAGGTTTGAAAGCCTTCAACATATGACATAGGATATGGGTGAATGCCTATTAGCATTGCGTATATCTAGGGTTTTATGGCCACATCCTCAGGACAGGGGCACAAGTTAACATTGCAGAACTTTTCAGAAGAACTAGATGGTGCCTGGCTACCCCTACCGGCCGTTCTAATCAGGGCCACAATCAATGGGCCCTGGTACAATGGGAGAAAAATGTGGAAAAGAACCTCAAATTCCTAAAAAAAAAAAAAACAAACAAAAAAAAACAAAACAAAAAACAACCTACTGGACTGGTTGAGACTGGAGGACCCCTGGAGACTACTGCCCTGAGATACTCTTCAAACCTTGAACCGAAAGTAACCCTTGAGGTCACCTTGTAGCTAAATAACAAATTGGCTCAAAAAACAATGAATATTATCCATAATTATCGTGTGCCTTTTAAAAAAACACCTATATGAGACCAAACAGTCAACAATGACTTTAAAACAAAGATGAGAATGTAAGGGGGCAGGGAAACTAGATGCATGGAAACAGAGCAACCAGAATGGAAATCATGAAACGTTCACACATTGTGAAGAATGTAGCCAATGTCACTGAACAACTTGTGTAGAAATTGTTGGATGGGAACCTAAACTGCTGTATAAACCCTTCAGCGAAAACACAATAAAATACTGTTTAAAAAAAATTCAAGACAATGAAACAGAAAAAAATAAATGTAGATATTTGATGAAAAAAATCTGCAAAGAAAAAAATCTGATAGAAGGAAAAACTGTAACTATGATGAAAAGACCCTGAAGTGTTGACTGTCAGACTCCGAAATACTTTCATTAGAATGAAATGCTGTCTGGTTAACATTTACCAGACCTCAAATTCCATTCATAGTGACATGGAAAGCTATGCTTTTTCAATCCCCTGGCAAAGGGACCTCTCGGCTTTTCTTAAGTGAGGAAAACAAAATATGTTTCTTTAGGAAATGAGCAAGTCGCTAGGCAGGTTTAAGGATACTTTATTACTGAGCCATTATGTACAAACTCTAACATGAAAATAATGAGTCACAGAATATCAGACTATTTACAATACTTTTTTTTTTTTACAAAATGTTTTTTTTACAAGATTACTGCTTTCTAAATACCGTGACAGACATACACAAAAATCAAATGTTTATTTTATTACATACATAAATAAATATTGACTTTAAATGACCATTATAAGGAACAGGATTTCTACAGAGCATTTGCATCGGAAGATGGCAGTTCTGTTATCTGCACACAATGTAATTAAGTAAAGGGGAGAAAAAATAACTTTACATATAGACTCTATTAATCACTCTGTCAACTGTATAGCTTGCTAGACTATTCAGTGGAGGTCAGACAGTCGTTAGAAGTCCATGTCCTACCTGAAACATTGAGTGTGGCCATGCAAAACCATAGATAAGCGTCCACGACGTTCCATTTACAGTGTGGAATGAACTGGAAAGTACATGCAACAGTTATTCAGCCTCTTTGTTCTGGTTATAATGTGAAAATCTGAAAAACAATCTTGGAGTTATTTGGAAACATGGGCAGGAGTACCCTTGAGGGAAGGCGTGGCATACGGTGTAAGAGAGGGCATTAAATAAATACATCCGTACTGCAGTGACGTTTATGGAGGCATGGGACAGAAGTCATGTCTGTACTTGCAGTCTACAGACACAAGTCAAAATTCAGTCCTTTGATCAGGTTTTATGGCGGACAGAAAAGAGACAATTCAGACCTCTGAATTCAAGCGTCATCACCTCCTGGCTATTTCTTAGTTCCCGGGGTTTGCTCATGCAATTTGTTCAGTCCCCCAGTCAGGGCAAATCCGAAGTATTCATAGATATTTCTGTGTTCAGTAAAGATCTTTCTACCCAGTAAAGATAATTCTACGGCAGTGGTTTAAACCGGGGGTGGTTTTGCACTTCGAGGGCCACTGGCGATGTCTGGAGACACTGTGGTTGTCACAATTTGGGGGAAGGTGCTAGGGACGTCTAGTGGGTGGAGGACAGGGATGCTGCTAAGTACCCCGCGAGGCACAGGACGGCTCCCGACACAAAGAATGAGCCGGCCCCAAACGTCATGAGTGCCCACAGACACCCTGCTCAATGGAGTCCTTACGTGTTCTAGGGTATGAACATACTTTTAAACTCTGGATTTTGTTTCATAAACATTCTGAGAAATAATCTGTCATAAATCTTTTCCTCTCTAATATGTCATACTAAAACAATCAAGGACTTCAACGGGCACACGTTCATTTGTAAAAACCATTCTATGAGTTCCAGTTAGAAAAAGATGATGGCAGAGAGAAATTCATTATCTAGGAGTTAGTGTCGTAAATGAAAATAATGCACAGAGCCGCGGTGTATATCTACTTAACCACCTGCATTTGATGACTTAATTTTTTTCAAGAGCTCAACCTTTCAAACAGTGAATACTCTCACTATCAATTTCTCAGATAAATGCACCTAATTTCAATAAAACGTATCAGAGGATTAGACACTAAAACTACTTTAATAAAAAAAACACAGATTTTATCACTTTATCAGGGTACTTACATTTTAAAAAATGAAAAATATATATTTTTGCTTATCTGATTAATGTTGGAGATGATTCGTAGTGTTTTTCTTCTACAACAGTAATGAGATTTAAATTGTTGAATATCAGAGCAAAATCAGATGCTCAGAAGCGTTGGTTTAGATTTCTTAGGGAAAGTATAAGCTTCAGAACATTTATCCAAACTAAAAATATAGTTGTCAGTATCTATTACCTAGACCAAAGAAGAAGAATTACATTTTATAAAATTAAACATATAATAATTTAATAATATTTTGTATCTATCTGTATACTTCTGTAATTTTTAACTATACAACAGTACAAAAATTTGATGGCCTAAATAATTGCATTTGGTCATAACAAATTAAGGTAAAAGATAAACTTGTAGTCAATCATTAGAAGTTTAATTTTTTGAAATTTTAAGAACTTGAATTCCAGATGCTGGAAGAAACAGTCGTTTTAAATACGATTCCTAGGGTGTTTGATAAATCTCAGAAGGATTTTGATGAAAGAAGTTTCCTGTTCTCTCCATTCAGAACATGTAACCTTGGGAGCAGGTGAACTTAAAACACTGTGATCCAGCCACCCAGTGTGTGTTAGGAACTGCAGGGAACCACTCAGAACCAACAGAAACTTGCCTTCTGAGAGTTCTGATTTTACGCCCTTGCACAAAGCTGCAAACCATCACGTCGATCCTCAGCTTTCAGTGTTTTAATATACAAGAAACAGCTGTTTTTTTTAATATCTGTTATCAGGTACCCATGTTTATAAATTGTGCTTTCTGACGATATGCATGGACTTATTAACAAAGGCGGGTTCCTCTGCATTCTGCACTGCATCTGCCATCAGTCAGAATCACCTCCACGGCAACTGGTTTTACAGACCCTGCGGTGCAAGCTCCATCAAGGCAAGGAGTTGTGAGCTGCCTACTGCTGGCAGCGTGGCCAAGAACCTGCTCACACTCCAGAAATAGCAAAAAATGACAAGGGGCAAGTCCTCCCATCAAAACCTTGCAT